ATTGTGTACCAGTTTAACATTGAATATTATTTATGATTTTAACTTTATACACAAGTGCCAAATACTATAATTACATAATAATAATAATAATACTACCTGAGTACTCTTCTTTGACTCTAAACTGATAACTAAGTTTATTCTACAAATGGTATTGTTTCAAGAATTTCTCCTGATCTTTTATAATTGTCTTTTCAACACACTTGAATATTGTGAATGAAAATTTAATAATTCAGTAAGTTAATCTTAAGTTCAGCTATATTATTGGATTTGGTTACACCCCTTTTTTCTAGCATTTGTCTGAATATTTCTTTACTTTTGTCTTGGTTGTCATGTTGATTACAGATAAGAGCTCAATAACTTTGTTTTTATTTAATATACTTTGAGTTTATCAATTTTTTGTGTTTCACCTTGCTTAAACTTGCATGTTTATTTGAAATACAGATATATTTCTCGGTTCATCAAAATTATTGATCAGTGAATGTTTATAATTTTGTTGTGATTTTATTTTATAATAATTGACCTGGATTTGTTACAGTGATAAGTAAATTATTTTTATTTTCCATGATTACTGCTTTCTAAAATCTTCCCTTTTTATTAATTCAGTCCAACTGTTTCATCTGTGGTATTGGGAAGGATTACTTTGATAAAATACCGCATGGTTTTGACACTCATGTCCAGAAAGAGCATAACCTTGCCAATTACATGTAAGTTTAATTTTAGAACTTTAAACAAATGTTAGTTGTTTCTTTGAGTTCACAAGTGTATAAGATAAATAGTGAAATATTTAAACAAAATTAACTAGAGTTTTGGCAATAACTGCACTTATTGGTACAATTCCTACCTATTTTTCATTCACACAAATCTTAAATAGTTATCTTCTAAGTTTAAAGATAATAATGAAAGCAAAAGTTTAACTCATAATGTTTATACACAAGTAGCTCAATATGTCAATCATCCACCTCCTAAGTAAAATAATTATAAAACAAAGCTATGCCCCTGACCAATGTCTGTTTTGTAGTACAATACCCAATTTAAATACTGAACACTGTAAAACATTATAAATATCAAATAAAAAACATCCCCATAATTAGAGATTGAAGGCAAAAGAGTTAGTTATGATAAATTCTCTGATTAATAAAGAAAGTTTATTTATGTAAGGAACAGAAAACTTGATATTGTTTAAAAGGATCAACAGTTCTGTGAATTAGATTTGCAATCCAAGATGTCATACTTATAATATTTTGTGCAGTAAGTTCAACACTTTGGTTTTAAATACTCTTACTTAATTGCTAATAACACTTAAAGAATTAAAATTTATTAGGTTAACAAGTTTATTGTAAAATTTATACACAGTCATCAAAGTTAAAGATGATTTTACCAGTTCATTTTATTAATTTTTCTTACAGGTTCTTCTTAATGCACCTGATCAATAAACCTGATACTGAGTATACAGGTCAGGTAAGTGTATATAAGTTATTCAAGTTTTTTATTATTTTTAATTGTAGTCAGGTAACCCTGACAGCTTTTTAGGCTGTTTTAGCTTTACTTGCACAAGGAGTTATATTCCAGTTTTTTTTAATACCTTATGTCTAAGTTCTGTGACTCTGAAATAGGCAAGAGTAGTCATTAAATTTGAAAATGTTTTTTTATATGGTCATACATTATATTTTCTTTGTTTCTTGCTTGCTCAAAAGCATTAGAAATAGTTTCAAAATTATTACAAAACAACTTTTTTATGGCAGAGACTCAAAAAAGGTTGCATTGTAAGTAATGCTGGTGACCAAGATCCTCTAGAACAGTGGGTTCCCAACATTTTCACCACCAAGGACCCCTTTTATTATTTTTTTCCCCAAAGAGCCCATGTTTTTGAAAAATTTCGTCTACCCAACAAACTGTTTTTATTAACTAATGATCAACTCGTTTTTCCATTTTTCCCTGTTAATTAAAATATATATAACTGAGTGTGTAATTAAAAAACAGCAGTATTAAAAAAACTTACTTGTTTAATGAGATGGGAACCACTGTTCTAGGATAATAAAGATTGTAGAAAGGGCTTTTACAAAACCACAGTAGCCAGGTAGGTGAGCTTTAATTACCCAAATTAGGTGGGTGACTTACCTGCCACCTAATGAAAGCTCTTAAAAATGAAGTTGTTTAACAGGTTTGATACGAAGATGAAAATTTACTTGGTTGAACTCTATATTTTTTGTAACACTGTTTGACAAACAAATACCAAGACAAAAAGGAAAATTGATCTTCTTAATCAATTAAGAAAAAGAAGAGAAAAGCTGCATAAGTAATTGAAATACTGTATAAAAATGGTAGATATGGTAGATAAAATTCATTGAAAAACAAGTTAATTTCCACATTTCAGGCCAAGACCCTTCGTCAGGTAGTTGTTAATGCAAAGTTTAACAGAATAACAATTTGAAATACAACTGAATGCTTGAGACATACATTGAACATCGAGTCACATATACAAAAATATTGTTAATGTAACATGTTGCTGAAACAAAGGTGATAAAAATATAAAAGAAGAAATTTATCATGAATAGAAGATAAATTATGAATATAGAATATATATATCAGTTGCCTATAAACACAACTGTCTTCACGAAATAGATCTAATCTAATCTGAACAATAAACACCTCATATGAATGACTGTTGCTCTTACATGTGTGTGCAAGGTTTTTCTAGTGAAAATAATTTTAGTATTTTGATTAGTTTGTTGGATTGAGAAAGATGGTTTCCTTGTAAAATATGATGTTGGGTAGCATGTGAATGTATGATCAACTGCTCTTTGATTATTAGATTCTAAGGCAAGTTTAACATTACACAGTCATTGGTTTTTTATTAATCCATCATATATTGCATTATTTCTGTCCTATGCAAGCTATTGTACTTAGGTAAAACAGGCTAAAAAATCAATGAAAGACTTGGTGAGCACAACAAAAATTATTAATGGCAACACAGGTATCATAACTTTCTGCAACAAATCACACAATCTTTCACTTCTCAGACTATGTGAATGGTATTGGTTCTTTCATCAACCTAGTTTCTGTTAAGCTGTACATAGCAATGTTTATTATAGTTCCAAATCTTCTAAGTACGTCTTCACAAAATTTGGTAGGCTTTTAGTAAACATTACAAATATGTTGTACACTAAAATCAGAACTTTTGATAAAGTATTCTTACTACAGATTTGTCTTTGAATTTACTTTATTAGGCTAACTAACACTCCGAGTAGTCTGAGTGCAAGGTAGTTTTATGTTAAGAATAAAAATACTTTTTCATCTTACAGTCTTCATATTTTATTTGCATAACCTCAAGAACCTCCTAAATAAATATCCAATCCCTTTTTTTTTCAGAAACACTTTATTTTTTATGATATTTTCCCTACCCTAACACTAACAGTAGTGAAATCAGCAGTGAAGGGTAGAATGAAAAGTTGAAACATACTAAATAAATCTTAATTACACTTTTTTTTCTTCTTTCTAGAAATGATTGCATATTGTTACAGATAATTACATGCTATTTATTCTTACAACCAAAGCTAATACGTTTCAAATCTGCACTTACATAGTCTCAGAATATGCCAAAAGCTATTTATCCTAGCCAAACAACTTTGTGTTAACAAAAAATCGAATTATATGCACAATGCAATCCAATTACAAACCTGCCTCGTGAATGGGTGTCAATATTGAGTATCCCAAGTATTTTTTTTTTTCCATTTAAGTTTTCTTATTTAGCCTGGTAAATTTCTAAGTTCTACATTTTAGTTACTTTTATAATAATAAATAAAAAATATACATATGAAAGACAAACAATTTAATACTTGCACGTTTGGACTCTTTCCTTTTGCTGTCAAAAAGCACTATAGGCCTACTTTTCTTTTGTAACAATGTTGGTGATCCAAAATATTTTTAATGTTTATTTCAACTGCAATTTAAAACACAACACATTATCATGCACAAAAAATAAAATGTCCTAAAGCTATTCTAATTTAACTAGTTTTCTAACTAAGCTACAAATAGGTTAAACTAATTCCATTACCACTTGAAGTTCAACAATAATGATCACAAATAAACAATATGGGGCAAAATGTATACAACTGCATGCCAAAAAGAAAAAACTCAGCAATTTCTTGTAAAGGACAAAAATTCACTTTTTGTTGGCTATAAAACAACACATGGACATAGATAAATTATTTCAAGGCTATGACAAGATGGGAGGAACCTCAGTGGTGGGTGTCACAAATTTATACATCACTAATTCCAGCAAAAATGAGAGCTTAAGTTTTATATTCCAACCTGTCAGTATCTGTAATCTGAGTTTTTAATTGGTTAGTCTCGCTGACAGCCTGAGAAGGGAATGGAGAAAATATAAAATAAGAGAATCTGAGGGGAGGTGCATCACGTGACACACAGAAGTAAATATTAAGAATTCGTTTTAAGTATTACCTTTTGAAATTAAGAAATTGAAACTTAGATAATATAAAACTTTGAATTATAAATTACATTTGTATGGCAAGTTTATTGACATATTAATAATAAAGTTATTTAAGTAAATTTTTAAAGTAACTGTGAAAAGGTTGTGACTTGTGCACTTTGACTCCTTGTTGTACAAATGAGGTTAAGGTGTACTCTAGTTATTTTGTAAGTGCAAACAACACCATCTTATTTACATTCTTAGGCATCCTCCCCCTTTTACCTTTCCACTGGAATGGTCCTCAGCATGGTAATTGAAACCAGCTATATCCAGGCCTCTCATGATTCCCTGAAAGTTTTTTTCGTGTCCTTTATTTTCTGTATTTTGCCTTAAAGCTCCTGTATTTTTGTAGTAACCCAATAGGTTTGATACAAACTATCAATCTCTAAAGTTTCCATGATTACTGGAGATATCTCTTGAGACCTTACAGTGTGGGAAACCACTTATACATCTGTTGCATGCATTATTGTCTGATCTGGATAAGTTAACCATGATGAGATGCCTGATGAAGCTGAATGAAACATGAGTATATGAAGGGGGAAATACTGTTACTTCTGTACTAGCAGGACTGGCTGTGTAGATTGTCAATGATGTGTCAAAGATGTATTGAAGCAGGTGAACCATGACCCACTTGTGATCAAGATAACCACATCTCCTCTTACAGCAACAAGATTTGTGTAAATGAACTACATGAACCTGGAAGAAGAACAGAAAGAAAAGGAAAGGTTCAGGCTGAAGAGGAAGAATGACATAAAAGGGAAACATTTGAGAAAGCCAAGAAACTAGAAAAATAAGATACAAATATAGGATAAATCAGCACTACTGAAGATAAAAAAAAAGAAACTTAATAGGGATATGCAAGTTGCTGAAGCCTTCTTCAAGGGAGCTAATAACAGATTGCTAAAATGTATAGCAAAGCAGAACATGATGTAGAGGTGGCTCAAACTATGTTAGAAGCTGCAATAAGTAAAGTCCCCCAATGGGACAGCAGTAAGCCTTCAGATTTACATCGCTAAAATCAGGGGTTCAATTCTCCATGGTGGGTACGGCAGATTACCCAATGTGGCTTTGCTATAACAAGACACATGCAACAAGAAAAATAATTCAGTCAAAATCTGATTGAAATAACGTCCAAGGAGAAAGAAGATAGCTAAACTTTAGCAAAAAAACAAATAATTGAAGGCTTTACTAGAAGCAGCAGCTAAAAAAATAAATGCTTCTCTTTTAAACATTAAATTTCAGTATTGTAACAAAATTATTTTGAAGAAACCATTCTTGTTTAATTGTATGTGCCTCTAATGTATTATTTGTAACTTCATTATGTAAAATAAAGTAAGCAATAGACTAGTAAATACTTTAACAATCATTTTGTACTAGGTTAGCAACCTTTGGATTTCAAAATTTTTGGTTTAATATAGTCTTTTATTTTGCCATAAGACTCTTTTCACTTCTTGTATTTTTGTATGTTTGTCCTGTATATTTTTGGGTCTCTACTGAGAGGCTATTCCAAGAATGAACATATGGCTACCAGTACATTTGAGTTTGTTAGGTGGTGATTGTGCAAGTAATTTAGATTCTACACAGTAGTAGAAGCTCAGTGAATTGTTTGTTGATGTATTTGTGGGGCCAATTGGATCAAACAACAGTATTTCCTCACTATATAGATACACAAAACACTCATCCAGTAAAACAACAGCTGTGCAAATTTTCCTGGATTACTAGTGATACACTGGATGCTGAAAGATTAAATCATACAGCCTTCACAGAGTGCATGTCATCTCCAGTAGTAATTGGTGGAGCGTACACTAAGGTTTTGTGTTGATTTGAGGTAGGTGAACATAGTGATACATTTCTTCTTCTGCAAAGAGATGAATATTTGGATACAATAGGTGCCTGATGGTTCAGCACTTTAGACCTATCTTCTGGAACAAGAGCAGACATATGGCTTCTTTCAGCACAGGATAATTTG